TAAAATTTTAGTGGATTCTTCAAGCCAACCTCAACAACCTACTTTAGTAAATTCTATATTTCAAAACAGTTCAGTATCACAACGATTAATCCTTTGGTTCGACATTGTTTGCCTATAACCACAAAAGTTCCTCAATGGTAATGATTGGCATATAGCCGAGTGTTCTTAATTCTCATATTCAAGTCAAGGAGTTCGTTGGATTTTAAGGGAAGTAATATATAGTTAAACATCTAAAAAAAAAGTTGAAGTATAAATTGATCGTTATTTAATGATCCGAACTTTGAATGAAAGAAATAAAATTGATTACATAAAATCATTTAATACTTAATTTATTAAAAAAAATAATAAAAATGAAATACCTATTGAAATAGCATTAATTTTACGATCTGGTGTGAATAATTTCTTTCAAATGTCCCGTTAATTCAAATTTCGATTGCACTGTCAATTTTTAGGTCTTTTCATTCATTGTTGCCACACGTATGCATTCGCATAGGTATACCATCTCGTCCCATTTCGTAACATGACCAATTCATTGAAAGCGATTAATGCCATATTGCTGTATAATGACGAACCTTAAATCGATGTCACTCACATTCAGGACATAGATTCAGGAATGTTCGGGTTGTCGAAAAGAACTTTGGCAATTTGATCCAGATAATCATCGCGATCATAATGATCTCTAACTTGGTCTAGTCTTGTTTTTTAGAATGTACCAAAGTTTTAGGTATCCATTGAGTCAACAAATATTCCAGTTGACCCATGGTAAATTCAAAGGAAGCCTAATCATGACGAGCTTCAAGAATTTCAAGAGTATCGCCACAAAGTTCAATTTTTCCATCAAATAAAAACTTATTACGACCAGAATGGCAGCTATCTTTTATTCTTCAAGTCTTTGCTCGGGAATTGAACCTTGTTATTATTATACGGGAGTCATACGTGGAAGATCGAAGAAAATAACCATCAAGCCAAGTAGGAGTAGTAGTAAGAGCATGGACTTAATTGATAGAAGATAATAAGGAAGTGTGGAACTCATAAAGTTACACCAAGAAGATTATAAAATCTAAAAAGTTTTGTTGCCGACACTCTCAGCAGGATATAGTGGATTTTTTTTATAGCATCCCTAGTTTTTGAGTTTTAAATTACTAGTTCTACCGTCATCTGTTTGGAGAATAAATCAAAACTTGTATAAAATGAAAAGAAATATTTTAACTTAAATATGGATGCATTAATAACATACCTTTAATTATTTATTAAACACCGGAATTGTGCATGAATTCTTTCTTGCATTAATATATTCGACGGGTTTATTGTTGAATTTATATAATGATGAACTAAAGCACTTCGACAGGTGATGAATTCAAGGAATTAAGGATTGAAAAAAGAGGATTGATCGTTGTGATTTTTGCTGTAATTGTAGTTGTAATCATAGAATTTACTAAAGTAGGTTATTGAGGTTGACTTGAAGAAACTATTAAAAATATCTCGAGTTTGAGATTTTCATCATTTCTTCATTCGTCTAAAATTTTTCTTTTGATGATTTCATAAATCCAACCAATGTTTTACTTTATAAGAGGTTTTCTTATATTCTTGTAGAGGTTCATTTGACATTTGATCGGTTTTCATCGTTGTAAAGAAGGTAAAATTAGGTTGATGGTGGCATTGGGGAGTTAGTTAAAAGAGAAGAAATTTATTTTTTTCATTAAAGGTATGAGAAAGAGTAAAAAAAAAGATTCCTCACGGAAATTGCTGTTAATTTATATGTTTTGAGAACGTTTAATCAGATAATAACTTTGATAATTAAATCAGGGTAGATTTTTTTTGCCCATTGTAAATATTTTATTACACAAGCACAAGGACATAAAACCAATCTTTAATAAAACGTAAGGTTTACTTAAGCGCAGGATTATTAATAGACACTATGAATTTATTATAAATATATAATAAATAATAGATCGCCGAATATATGTACAAGATAATAAAATGATAAGGTTTATTGTACTACATAAAGTATTAAGATTATTTCCTATAATGAAATGAAATATCATTTTTGGCTTATTTTCATGTATAAATATGTACCGAGTATAAAACCTTGGAACATCATGACTAATTAAAGCCGGGACGCGAAAAATATATATATATATATATATATAAAAGCGTTGGTATAAAATTAAGTTTTATGTAATGAAAAGCATAATGCATTCATTTGACATTTACCAATCAAAGAAAGTAAAATTATTTTTTTTTTTCGAATAAAACTCTTTTTCAAAACAATAATATGAATTAATGGATTGTATTTTTCTCTTCACGTTTCCCTTTCGTAGATAATTTCGATCATCATTTTCTCAGCAAGTAATGGTCGGTGAACTTTATTTAATGGTAAATCAAAGTGCATATTTACTGATTATTACATTGAAATGATGTCAAAATATTTTAAGTCAATTACAGTATATGATGATTTCCCGAAATTAGTTCCTATTATCTAATCAATTCACGACTAGAAAACATGTGACACAAATTCCAGCGCTTTGTGTTACAACCCCCTAATTTTTAATCTATTACCCATTTTACATACACTCTGACAAGGGATCACTAGGAAAAAAATTAACAAAACTGTTCTCCGTTTTATAGTTCATCTATGTAAAATTAGTGAAAATTCGCGTATTTGAACGCTTTCGATAGGAGAGGAAGGAAAATTCCGAGACAAAAAGAATTTTAACCAAGGACATATTTTATTTCAAAAATCGTTGATTTTCCCGGCGGTTTCCATTTCTTCGATTTTATTTTGGTTCTAATTTTCTTGATTTTCCAGTTCATAAATCATATCGTTCTTAATTAATTCTGACATAGCCCAAATATCAACGAGTTAAAAATTCCATTATCTGTAACGGAACATAACTCGAGTCGGTAATTTTGGCTTTTTTTTTTTGATTCGATTTAGAATTAAATGATAAATTACAATCTAGATCTCTCTTTTTTTTTGGCAAGATATGAAACACAATGGGTTCAATTGACGAATTGTTGGGAGTTTCCGGGGATTTTTTCATTACATAAAGAATCAAAAATCTGGGTAGTTTATCATGATATAATAAAAAAAAAAGATTTGCTTCCTATTAATTTCACCATAAAGTGGAGCAATTATTCCTTATTTGGAAAATAATTCTTGTTCTTTATTTCATACCAACGTACAAGAATGAAGTATCTTTATATCTACGGGAACATACGGAAAGGTATGGGAAATCTGCATGGAAGTCAATTTATTGTACCACATACAAACACATCTATCTGAGTAATCAAAAATTAATATAAACAGTTCCATATTTTACTTTGTTTCCCTTTTTTATTTCGGATGTAAGCGTTAAAGAGCTTTACTTTCTGAATGAAAGTTTTTTTTTTTTTAAAAAAAAAAATCGTTAATTTTTCTATGTATTATTGTTAATCAGGTAAAGGTTGTTAAATTCAATATGAATCGTACGTATTATTTATGATAATTTGAACCGAATATTATGGTACCGTATTCCTTATGAAAATTGTAATGTAAATACAAAAACAATGGACGTGTTACTATTTATATTACATAAATCCGAAAATTAAGGACCGATTGTTTCCAATTTGGTTTCGTAAAACTCGGTTTATTCAAAATAGCATTTTTGCTTTCATCAAGTAAAGTAACAACATATTTTAAGTTTGTTATATACATAATTTTTTAATTATAAAAGAGATTTTATTAATAGATAATGTCGATCGTACCACTAAAATAATACCCGGGAAACAATCCATTATTTAAATCCTATTGTTAAAAAATATCATTGTTAAAATCATTCGAATTAAAATTTTGTTGATCCGATTCTAGTCATTTAAACTGGGTAATAATAATTTTTGGATGAATTTCATGTATGAATTTTGAGTAATAGGATATTTCGCATTTTAAAATGTGTTGAATTTCCAATTTCATGTCTTCACGGGATAACGAGATATTAGAGTTTATTTGATTTCTTATCGTTATGCGTCAGAACACAAAGGTGTCGGTTTTTAGATTGCACTTTTTTTTAATTTAATTTATTTTTTTAAAATAAAAAAAGAACATGGATATAAAAAAAGACGCGAAACCATTTATTGGTTTCTGTCTCCCTTTATTGATTTCACAAAAAATTTTTTGTTTATGTTGCACAAACAGATCTGGTAAACTTCTGCTTTTAATTTTAATACGCCAATCAATAATAATGGCATGGTGTTATTGACTTTGCATCTGATTGTTCTACTTCTTTTCACACATTTTTTTTTTTCCGATAGAATAATTACTTGATTTGTATATATTATTTATTTTATATTTTATAACAATTCATAAAAATATATAAATATACATATAAATTATAAATGTTACTATCATCATCGATTCGACTAGAATATTGATACATGTTACTTATACCATATGTTGCCCCTAAAAATTACAATGAGTCGACTAACGATATCTTCTTGCATGAACCGTTTGGCTCAAAATAAGATGACATTCTTATAAGTAAGAAGTTTTTATTTCAGCATAAATAATTTTATCATGCTTGGCCTTTAAAGCTTTACATGTACGCTTTCTCCAATATACCGTCATCTGATATTGAATTTGTGTTCATTCATCATAATTTCAGTCTCGTCACATAAACACAACAGTATATTTAAATCATTCACTATATAACAATTATTTTCAAAAATATAAATTTTGCATGGATCTTTTCCATTTTAACGCATAAAAGCATTAAAGCAATACATCAAATGTTGTTCCTTCATAACCCATTGTGCTGGATTAACGTTCGATTAATTGACCAATCAATGATCTTGATTATACAGATTCGATACGAGAATAACGAACAATTCCTCAGGTTCACGACGCATTTCGGTCTTAAATATGATAGATGATCAAAACAAAAATAAACAGCCCAAGTGTGACCCTTACTTAACAACATTCTTAGTCAACACTCCAAAAGTTCTCCAAGTTAGAACTTTCTCTGTCAATCTATAAGTTGATACTCAAAGTTTTGGTACCTTCTTAGACGTCTTTCAGGATCAGGGTTCATTCTGATTTCTGGAAACTTTTTCTAAGGGTTATATTTTGTATCATCTTTTTTCAAAGCGTCTTAGAATTAGAACCTGTTTAATTGTAATAAAAATAGCATTTAATGGGAAAATGTGGGTGATCTTATACCGAAATGAACGTGAATATATATATTTTTTATACGGTAGTTCAGTTTTTTTATTTACATAATAAAGCGTTATATATTTTTGTCAATCATTTAATTGAAATTATTAACCAATCACAATGATTATAACTAAGCTTTGATGAATACGTAATGACGAACAGATCAATCAGAAATTAGAATCTCACCGATGGGAAAATCGCTTGCGTCATAAGCAGCGTCTGACGCAAGGTATGACTATCTCTCGTTAAAAACTTGCTCGTCATATCTTTTTTCCTTTTTTAAGAAAGTTGGGAAGGATCTGCTTCGTCTAGATTACTGGCCCTATCAGGCTGATGTTCATTATTTTTTTCGAATGGGTGGACGTTAGTTTATCATGTTGTTATCTTTCTCCTATCTTTATCGTCGTCTTTTCTTTTTTCCTTTTTCATCTTTTTCATCTTAGTCTCAGTCTTCAACAGGTTTTTATCAAAGTTTTTTTCTCATTACAAGTCCTCAACGACTTTTTATCAAAATTTTTTCCATTACAAGATTACTAATAGATTTTATCCCTTTTAAAAAAAACACTTGTAGAAACTGTGAAAAGGACGGCCATAGTGTTTACTCTTCGGAATATCTAACTTTTAGTGGAAAGAGCTTTGAAAAATGGCGAGATCCATACACTTACATCATCAGCTTGGGTAAAATATATCAATGAGTATAAACAATTTTATTTATTTATTTCTAATTCTAAATAAAAAGACGGTTATTCGTAATCAAAGGAGGTCTTCGTGCCCTTGGTATCACTCGTACTGTACCTGAAAATCGATCTATCTATTTTTTTTAAAAAAATGAATAAATCATTGAATAAAACTAACTTTTTTTCGCGATAGTAAATGTGAATGGTGTTGGCGAGAAAATTTTTTATGAAAAAATTAGCATAAATTGATATTCTACTGTGATTATAATGAAGATTATTAGTCGTTAAAAGTAAAAATTCTATTAAAATACAAGTACGTTATCAAATAGTATATTTATTTGGTAATAGTTGTATTGTGAAAATATTAAGACTTTATTAGGATACTTTTACAAAAATAACAAGATTCAGTTGACATAAAATAAATTTATCTGATGTTTATGATTCATTACCCCAAATTTTTCTAAACTAGTTATTTCTGGATCATTATCATTGTTAAAAGTTATGTTTTAGTTATTTTGGAGAGAATAGATATTAGAACTGGTTAAAAATTTCCTTTAATAGTTATATAGTTGATTTTAATAAAGAAATTATTAAGTGAACTTGCATGTAATCCCTTCAAATTATATTATAAAAAAAAAATAATATAAGCATGAAGGAATATTTGACTTGATAGATTTCAATTTAAGATAAAGTATTTTAAAGTTTTTATAAATAAGCTAAAAAATTTCAAATTAAGATGATATTGTATTATTAATCATATAATTATTATAAATATATATATTGATAGTAATCTAATAAAATAAGTTTAATTATTATTAAACTAAAAATGAATACTTAATTATTTGATATTTATTTTCATATAATTTTCTAAATTTCTTAAAAAATAATTGCTGGATTTTATATGAGCTTGAGATTCTAAATGATGTTAATTTTTTGTTATAAATCTTTTTAGATAAAAAATAATAGATTTTATTTTATAATTACTTCTTTTTATTCTTATTTTATTATTTAATAGTTTATAATTTATTTATCACTTACAATACCTAGCATTATATTTATTTATAAGCTTAAAAATTTTATAAAAATTTAATTGACAGTATTTTTATAAGTTATTATAATAAAAAAGTTATTTTTAAATAAAATATGAAAAATCTATCTTAAAATAGAATTTAAGATTATGTTATTATGATAATTTTAATAATTTATCAATCATTTAACTTAAATAGTTATAAATTTAATTTATAATCAGTATTATATTTATATAAAGATATGAAAAAGATAATAGTAAATAAATTTATTAATTCTTTTATTAATTCTAAACTTTAAAGATAAATTTTACAATAAGTGGAGCTAGAATTTTCAGAATATGGATTATTTCTAATAAATAAATTATATAATTCTTAAATAGGTATTATCTAATTAATATTTATTATATATAATTTAAGTAAAATTCAGATAAATTTGAATATAAAATTTTTTTTTTAAAATTTAAATGCTTTTTATTTTAAAAAGCAAATACAAATTTAACAATTTTATTCTTAAATAAGACAATAAATTTAAAATAAGTTTTATAATAATGATTTATATGATAATTATTTTATTATGATTTACTTATATATTAAGTATTACAATTAAATCATTTAATAAAAATATGAAAGAAATTTGAAAGTATAAATAAAAATTTTATTATTGAATGTATTGATATTCAAGTTAAATTATAAAACTATTTATACAAAAATTCTAATTTAACTTTACTATATATATAAGATAAGAATATAATAATTATAATAAATAAATAAAGAAATATAATAAAAATAATAACATTATTAAGAATCTTTAATAAATATAATATATTTAAAATATTTTTTTTTTACAGTATAATAGTCACATAATATTAAATATTATCTGTTTTACTTATTTATTATTTTTGATTTAAATATTTATAATTATTTAAGTATATTTATATTATATTTAAGTAAATAAATAATAAATTATAATTAAAGTTACTTACTTAAATTTAGTTTTGCTAATTTTTACTAAAGTTTATAATTTTACATATTTATAAGCTTTGATATAATTTTATTTTTTCTCAGATTTTTTAATTAGATTTTTATTAAATTTTACCTTTTATTATTTAGATAACTTGAAAACCTCTAATTTTATTTAACAATTTTAGTTATAACTTTAATAATAAATTATTAAAAGAAATTTAAAAATTTATATAATTTAATTTATTAAAAATATATAATAAAATAATAAATATATTCTATATACTGGTTATAGATGCCTGCTGAAACCTTCTCAAAATAATTTTGTCATACCCTTTTTTATGTTTTTAATATAGTTTCGACAGTTTCAGCTTTCATCGTATCGAATGGATTTTGTTGTATTTTTTATTATGATTTTAATATAGTTTTGTCTAAGTTTTGATTGTTATTAAAAGGTTTCGTCCCTTATCTATAATATTAGTCAAAATTAAAAAACCAAATATATAATAAATTAGTCTAAAATCAGTATATTATTAAAAAATCAGTTAAAATTTAATCAAACTAATTAATATATTAAAAATTAGTTAAAATTTAACTTATTTGAGTGTTTTGCAATAAAAAAGGTGAAAATTACTAAAAAAAATTTTTATTTTATAAGTTAAATATTATTTTTTAGTAAAATAAATTCAGATATAATATTAACTCAAAAAAATATTTTAGTAATTTTCTCATTTCCTATTATAAAGCATTTATTTTATTTATAGCTAATTAGTATATCTTAAAAATTAGTTAATATTTAACCTATTTATTTATAATTGATTGATATATATTAAAAATTAGCTAAAATTTATCACAAATTTTATTAAAATAAAATAAAATTTAAAAGAAAATATAAGGTAGTGATATTTATTATATAATATTTTAGAGATAGAAGATAATTTAAAGATCTTAATATATATATAGTGTAATGTAAAATTAGTATATATAGTGTAATATAAGATTATTATAAGATAAAGAGGGAGTATAAGATTATAGTAAATAGATATTACATAATAAATATTACTACCTTAACTGAATTTTATATTTTATGATTAAAAAATATTCAATTTATTTAATTGTATTTTATAAAAGATATTTCTATTAATTTAATTAACAGTTAGATATTTTTTGCATTTCATTAAGTTATATTTAATAGTTTACTAATATAAATTACTTAGAATATAAAAAACTAGTATTATATAATATTTCTTTTCAGGTAAAAATTAATATCCTATAATTTAACATTACATATTTTTTTTGCTAAAATAATATAGAATATTTGAAGAAATTATAGATTGATATTAGTAAATATATATTAAAAATGTTCTACTAGTTTAGATCATAAATTGTAAAGTAATATTAGACTTAACATAAATAACAATTAACAATATTATTATTGTAATAAATTTTGAATAAAATATATGAACCTTTTATATGTTATAAAGACATTGATGAACTAAATATTTCAAAACTAATTTGATATTTTTCAAATTAATTCATTTTGATTTAAATTATTATATCATTTTCTGAATTCTTAAGATAATAATATTTATTATATAATATTTAATATCTATTTACTATAAGCTTATACTCTTATTCTTATCTTATAATAATTTTACATTATACTATATATTAAGACTTTTTAATTACCATTATCCTTATAATATTATGTAATAAATATCATTGCTCTTATTAAATATCTTTTGAAATTTTAATAAACTATAAATCATTATGTATTATTTAACTATTAAATCAAGTATTTTACTTAATATTATATTATTAAATAATAGTTTAAGAAATTTACTAAAAATATTTTGTGAATTCATTTAAAATTAATAGATTTTATCGGAAGAAAATTTATCTGTAGCTGAAAAAAATCAATTGAAGGCTGATTTATCTTAATACTTTTTGAATTTATAATTTTAATTTGAATATTAAAAATTACTTAACATATTAGATTAGATTTAATTTTCTATTATTATTTAATAAAAAACTTAAAAATTAAAAATTAGTAAATTTATAAAAATTTAAATCAAGAAATTTATTTAATATTCTATTTAAAATACCAAAAAATATATAATAGATTATAATCTATTAAGTAATTATAATATAAAAAGAAAGATAAAGATTTATTATGATTATTATTTTTGTGATTATTTTTAATTAATTTTACTATTTTAATTAATTTTTAATAAGCTTTTTATAATAGATTTAATTTTACAATCTGATTTATCAAAATTGTACAAATACTTATAAGATATGTAAAATCTTTCTATTTATAATTCAAAAATATTTTTAAAGTAAAATAGTGATATATATAATAAGAAATATTAGCTATAAAATTATAAACTCTTCTTCTTCATGAATTTTACTAAGAATTCAATCTAAATCAGATAGAATTTAAATTTTATTCATTTTTTTTTTTAAATATTATTTAAGAAATTTGATATTAAAATTTTTTTAATAATTCAGATTTATTTTATATTTATTATTTAATACTTAAAAATAAGTAATATTTTAAATTGATTGTAATAAATTTTATAGAATTAAAATATAATAT